TGCTGAGTAATCTGGGTTTACTTACACATATTCTAATTAACCTTTCCAGAGAGAGACGCAAATTCATGTCAGTCACAGACTGAAACGCAAAATATCAGATTAACTATTTTAATATCAGGGGAGATTTCAACAGTATAAATAAAATTCTACTGTTAAATGCTTTCCCTGCCTTGATTAATGAGGTGTGCCAACAAGAACTGCTGTGGTCACGGCCTGCCTCTTTTCCTCCATCCTTCCTAGACACCGGGCCACAGAAATAGCCTTACTTACCTATCTGTTGCATAAGTCAAATGCTGCTTGTGGTGGTGTGTAGTAGCAGTGTCTTTACTGATGGGCAGACAAAAAATGAGTTCACATCTTTTCTGTCTCTACCTACTACAGCCCCTGCTATTACTAGTATTCGAGTTGTCAACTGCCATAAAAATACGTCATCATCATACAGAGGGCAGGATAGCCATATGTACTGCGTTGGTGAATACACCAGACTCAAAACCAGCATCCGACATCTTAGAATATGGTACTTTCAGAATAGTTGTTTACAGCAGTTTCTGCTCATTTCAAGCTGTGGGAGAAACAATACATTTAACTTAGCGTTTCTCCTTTGTTTCTTGAAAAAAGAAACTTTGAATCAGCATTAAGTCTTAAAATAAAATGCTTTGAACACTGAAGTACATAACGTGAGCTAAAGGACATATCCCATGATTTCTGCTCTCTCTGCACTGAAGGCATATATTTCTCTACTTACAGAGCTTGATCACCTTGCAGAATTTATCCTTGTAAAATGCTCAGAGGAAAAGAATAAATTCTCAAGATGGATAAGGGATTCCAAGAAATAGCAAGCAATGTAAAGGGAGCAGAAGAGTCGAGTGACAAAGGAACACAGAAAATCTCTGGCCAAAATGAAGATAATCAGAATAGGAAAAAATAAAAGCAGAAAAATAAAAAAAAAAATCCAAGAGTTCCTCATCTGAAATGCTTTACTTAGCTGCACGTGTCATTCATGCTCTTGCAAGTACCGAACACCGATTTTCAAATATGGGCATGTATTACAGGAAATAACCAACAAGAACATGGCATTACTTCTCCATTTTTAGATTTTAGTCTAGTAAGTATTTGACAAATTGATTTTAAAAAGTCACAAAAGTATGTGCCATTTGTCCAAAATAATTGGGAAGTAGAGGAAATTTCGGTATTTCAAGCAAACATTCATCTCTTTCAGTTCTTCCTATATGACAGTCAAACCTGTCTAGTTCTCTTCAGTTTGGTTTGAAAAGATCAAGAAATCAATCACAAGCAAAAAAAAAAAAAAAAAGGGGGGGGGGGGGGGAAATGCTGCAGGTGATGCCTGAAGACAGATAAAAGGGAAGATGGTACTCTGCAACACTACAGTCTTGCTGCTTCAATCATCCATCTTTCACATTTTCTAACACTGGCATTTCTTCTGCCACAGCATCACTCTGTATGATGAGCTGTCCCTGTACGTTCACCCTATCACTCCAATCTTCAGCTTTATTGCTTCCTAAACAATGATATCATTCAGACTAAATCTGTTTTCAACTACAGACCACCACAAGCAGCTTTTGACTTAAGCAATTTGTTTCATCTGCCAAAGAAAAAGGTCAATAAATATGTTAAAAATAAACAGACAAATTTGCACCATTTAAAAAAGCATCAATACATGCCTACAGGGTGTATTGCATTAAGACACCTTACTACATCATGTTTTGAAAAAAACACAACACAATAATCTTGTCAAACAACTGATCAGAAGACTGGTTAGCAGAGCTGCTTTTTTTCCTGCAGATATCTGCGTTGCCCCACCTTCTATAGTATACTTTATTTCAGCTTCCGATCTGCAGAGATCATATTACCCGTAGCTCCACGCCCCTTATCCCAAGAAGTGTCTTTAGAGCATTTGGTCTAAACTGCTAATTTGTCTGACTGCTGCTAACGTCCGTCCCATTTCCGTAACAACTACTACTAAATAGGAGATCTACATGCTTCTGAATGCCTCCAGATCCCTATAAAATTAAGAGTCTACACTTTCATACAGTGTTTAGCAGGGACATTGTCATTTCTATTCTGCCAATTTTCTCCTAGATACCTGAAGAGGATTGTTGTACTCTGAAGCCAGTGTGAGAAACTCTTGTTTTGCAAACATTTCAGTTGAGAAAAATAAGAATATCAAAACTCCAGAGAAAAGGGTTTTCTCTCAATCCAGTGGTTTAGCAAGTGAGCTACTTGTGCAGGTATCACCAGAGTATATTACAATTAACTTGTGAACCAGTAAACTAGGGCTAATCTGAGATGTGGTAATTTCTGCAGCAGTCTTTTTAGTAGTAATGAAAAATCACACATTTTGAAATAGCTCCTGAAATAAGCATTAGGGTTTTTGTTTTTAAGTTCGTGCAGAAGGATCTTGAAAACAGAGTCAAACTGATAACTTGCTTAATGGGTCATGTGTTATGAAACATTTAGAAGAAAAAAAAAGATTCTGTAGTCTACATAGGCATTTTTATCTATCTCTGCAATTTATGAGAGGGGAAAAATACAATCTAGCAAATATTTTGAAGACAACTATTCAGCAATCTTAAGATTTCCTCCTCAGACTACTAACAAGCAGGACATATATGAAGAGTATTAGACACCTTTTACAAGTTCCTAAATATGCCTCAACATGTAAGTTTACCAAGGAAGCAAGCATCCAAACAAAACATGAATTTCTCTTGTTGCTGTTATAAGCTTGATAAAATAGCCTGTAACTCAATATTGCTGGATATTTAGACCACAAACTACAGTGACAAGTCAGAAATTGTTTCATGTTTTGTCCAAGGTCTCTTAGTGATTACCTTTCTTCTTTACGTGGAGAGTACACATAGCCGAACCAATGCTGCATAACCCGCAGCAAGGTAGCTGGTTTGCACAATCACAGAAGTCCTGCTCATACTTTGCTTTAAGACATTCAAGCTTACTACTTTAGATATTAAAAAAAAAAAAAACTGACGTAGTAGATACAACAGACAGTCATGATTTCCACTGTCAACATTTGTACAATTTAGTAAGTCCCACACACTTTATTGCAAGTCAGTATTTTACTTATCATCACATTATTTTTCAGAGAGAGATCTAGGAAACAAACTTAGCTTTTCAACTTAAGTGGCAATGATAGAGATTGTAAGAAATTGATACTGAAGATAAATAGTTGTCTTAAGTCTTGATTAAATAGAGATACAGAAAAATTGATGAAAATAGTTTTAAACAAGTTTCATTTAATTGTTCTAAATCCACAGCTAAAGTGACTATTATTTCCAAGGGTAAACCAATTAAAAGCTACTTCATCAATGAATAGCAGCATCTACAGGGAGTGATAAAATCACTTCAGATAAATTATTTCAAGCAAAGTTTTTCAGTTGTGCCCCATTTAAACAAGTCCTAATTTGCTCCTCAAAGTCAAGCTTAAAGTAAAAGTAGCTTCTCAAATTTACTCTGTAGTTAGTGTTCTACTCTTAAAAAGTTGCAAAGATGATAACTACTTGAAACATGAATTTTGAACTTTCTCTAAGGATATGAATTATAAATAATCATCTGATCACCAGAAAAAGGACTGCAACATCCTGTGGTGCCGTAATACAAGTATGACCTCACAGTCTCACCTGGCACAAAACTAGTATGCTCCTAAGTATATGAAACACTAAGGAGCAGAGGCATCGCCGCCTCTATGCCTCCCATACAAACAGCGTACAAACAGATCAGCCACTGCTGACCAGCTGGGCAGCAGCTTTGCAGACACAGCCCTGCCTCCTTACAAGATGGAGAGCCTGAAGAACCATTATAGAACCGGTACTCCTTTTTTCCAAATGGAAAAAAAAAATGCACTAGAACAGATGAGTATGATCTCAAAAGAGGGAATACACACCTGGGAAAAAAAAGGAGGAGGGGTATCACAGGGTAAAAAGTCATACCAGTTAACAACTGCAAAACCACAATTACTCAGCATCAGTTGATGTCAGTGCCTACCACATATTCAGGTGGTGAGACCGTAAAGAACAGGCACTGCACTGTTTCCTACATTTTGCAGCAGCTGCCTGGGATAACTGCAGATCAGTTGCTGCGTGGTAACAGCAATCTGTAGTAACTGATAAGCACTCACCAAAATTAGCTGTTGCAAAATGTAGTTATCATTTAGCAGTTAACGAGCACAGACTAACAACTGCAGGTTCTTACTAGCCTTATCAACGCTGCAAGAACAGCAACTGCACCAACAGGTTATCAGCAAGTCACACAGCGCCTCCTTTGCTCTGTAACAGAATAGGGATCTGCACAGTCAGAGGCTGTTGCAGTTTAATATAAAAAAAAAAAAGTGCATACTTACTGTAGGAAAACTCAAGGATTAAGAATAAGTTCATTAGGTATCAGCTTTAGTAAAAAAAATAGATTTATCAAGATGCTTCCCACATACATTATTTTAAACTTATCAAGCATAAACACTTTGAATGTAAGAATGAACTAGGATTATTGTTTGATAACTTTTTTAATCTCATAGCATTTCATAAAATGGAAAATTCTTATCTCTGTTTCTTAAGGTGGCACAAGCACTTGTGTGGCCAGCCTTGTTATAGAGCTAAGCAGCCTGAAAGGTTTCTGTTGATCAGCTAGTTTTCTTTGGGAGCAGTCCCCACTCACTCTTGCTCCGTAACTAGGACTAGCGGGAGAGCGAAGGACAAAAAGGGAGCAAGGACACACACCTGAGTGGAGGAATGGGATGGCTTACGCTAGATCACCTTAAAGAAATAATGAAAACTGCATTCTTAGTCATGCTCATAACTCAACACATTGCCTAAAGTACCCATTACAGTGTCAGTTACAAAGTACAGTTGTGTAAAAGACAATACCTTCACTTTTAATTAAAGACTACTGAACGTTGCAAGGTGCCTGCTCAAGGCCTTTAGGTGGGCTTTTGTCCTCGGCTTAAGAGGAATGCAATTCTCAACACACACAAGGAAACTGCTTCTTCAGTGTTTATTATAAATTAGTAGCTGATGAAGTCATACCTCAATAGGTTATCGGGAAAGAACATTCGGAATTTGAACTTTCACTTAGAAAAGAAATTATTAAAGAAAAATTGTCAAGGAGAACTTGAGATTCAGATTGTTCCGAATAAAACTGAATAACCCAAGCAAGCCGCTGGAAAAAAAAAAGTTATTGCATCTATTGTCACATCTTTAAACATTTATAAAAAGAGAATTTTAAAAAGCACTCAAGTTCTACAACAACATTAATTTCAGTAATGAACTAGTAATCACATTTTTTTTTAAATCAGCTCTAGCTGCAACTTCCCAGTGTTACTAAATTGACTTCTAGTTAATGTAACAAAGCAGCTATGACTAGATAAAATTCTTATTTTGAGAAAACATACAAGAATCACAATCATTAAATTAGAAACTCTGTTGCAAGTATATACAAATAATTATCAAAGCATTTGTTTCCGACAGTGCTGCAGTATGTCCTGAAGTCAACTACTTGACCTAGCACTAGAAATGAATGCCTGGGTAACCATTTCAAATTTGCCAGCTTGAGGATATAGCTAGAAGAATGGAGTTTGTCTGAACTGATTGCAAAGTTGAAACTTTAAGGTAAAAGAAAGGGAAGCTATTAATTCAAAAAGAAAAAGGCTTCAACAGTGCTAACTACCCTACATTGTTCCATTAAACTACTCCTATTGTTCAGTAAAGGAATCGTATTTAGAACATAAGTAGAAGTAGTCTCCATTCACATTATTTTGTCTGTTCTCTCCAAAAACCTCCCAAAATGGTAGTCGGCTTTCTTGGGATTTAGTAGCCCATTAAGACACTCAATAATCCCAATTTCACCAAGCCAGATACCATGACTTTCTGATACAATTTATATAAGAGTTTAAACTGGTGACCCAAAGAGAAGCAACCTACAACGGGTGGACCAAAGTCATCAAGTTCATCACATACTGCTGCCAGAGCATATTTAAACATAACCATGTTTTGTAACCAAGAATAACCAAAATAATTCCATCTCTAAATACAGAAACAATCTGAAGTATTTGTTAGCTGTTGGAAAGGTGCCCAAAATACTACTAACATTTTATACTCGGTATCTCAGTTCGCCATCCAGTTAGTAAATCTGACTCAAGAAAGAGACAACATCACATGGCTGCAATCATTTCAATATTTAGGAATGCACTACAAGTGCCCTATGTTTTTTCCTCACAGTCTCTCAATTCTGAAGGAATTGCTCAGAATTTCTGAGGTTCAATCAGACTCAGTTCTTTTCCATCATACAATGCCTGCAGTTGGTTTGATTCATATTTTATGGATGGCTTTTCAATTCGTTTCCCAGGCTCCAGAGCATTCTGTCCAACTATTTTAAGATTCACAAATTTTATTTTCCAGGTGTTCTCTCTAATCGGACAGCGGATAAGTCCAAAAATTTGTTCAAAGACACCCAAACAAGTGTTGCCTCTATGTACCGTACCAGCCACTGCTACCAGTACTAACCCATGTCGAGACATTGTACATTTCAGTCCGTCAGCATTCAAATTGGGATTCAGTAGAAGGTATTCTTCTTTCACCAACGAGAGCAGACGAAGGCTCACCATTTCTGCACCAACATATTCTTCCGTGTTTTTTTCTAATGTATTATAACAGAATTTCATTTTGGCATCCTCCCAAAAATGCTGTGGTCCCCATGTTTCTTCAGACTGTACACTCAAGGGATGTTGAGAGTTCAGGAGTTCAAAGAACCATTGACAGAATTCTTCTCCTAGATCATGAACGTCATCATTTGGTAGCTTTTGATTTTTTTCATGACTCTGCAATCAAGCAAATTTTTTTTTTTTTTAGAATTATTTAGCCTTAACATTAGAATTTACCATTTAGAACAGCCTAAAATAATTTAAATTCTTATTTTAAACATTCTAAGTCTTCTTCAAGTCAAGTATTTGGGACCAAGTGCCTGAAGAAAAACAATAAAGCAAAATCACTCTATTTTTAATATCATAATCCTAACGTCAACATCCACAGTATTAGAGTTCGTTCCTTTAATCGAAGTTAGACTGGTAATGCAACGTTATCCTGATCTTCAATTTATATTCCAAGAGCAAAATGCTATTTCTAGTGAAAAGCAAAAAGAGAGGATTTTTGAACAATTTCCACAGAGTCAGGATTCTCACACTGAGGGACAAAATATCTGCTGTATAAAAGGGGTTTGTACAAGGAACTTTTCATTAGCCTTTATAATTCCAAAAGAAGGTTACAGAAAAAAAACAGAAAGATACAGACTCAACCTTAAAAAGTAATCTTATATCAAGGCACATCACTTTACTTAAGTGCTGATATGTACGCATTTATACTGACATTTTTCCCTTGTTTCATGTTGCCCTCAATCTCTTCTTTATTGCACCTTTTAAACTTGCAAATTATGTTTTTCTCTGCACGCTCATATAGCTGGGAATAACAAATAACACTTATTAGGAGGTCAGCTTTTGAATACACATATCCTAATACCTGAAGCTGTCAGGACATTTCCAGTTTACCTAGATATTTTACCCATGTTCGTGGAATATGCTAACAAAATGCGCAACTAATCCAGGAAAAACTGAAACTTAAAGAATTACTGTGTTCCAGACCTTTCTTGCCACAAGATCACATGCCTGAATTCATCTCAGTTTGGTGGTGAAACTGCTGAAATTATCCAAAAGATGTTTGGTCACTTTCATGAGTGATATCTGTTAAGTCTTCACCATATGTCTAACAGAAGAAGTGCCCAAATCAAAGAAAAATCATAGCTAATGTTATCCTTGTCACTGAAAAAAAGTCTTGGGCAATTTCAGCTACTTTTCTAATTGTACAACTGATCATCAAAAAAAAAAAAAAAAAGGATGCTATATGGTGGGATAGAAGAGTTGCAGGCATTTTCACACAAGAGCATAAACTTACTCTGGGAATAAAGAAAAATTCATTCAGATCATCATAAAATACTTCCTTCAACACTGAATCTGCTGAGAAAGTATTTTACAGTAGTGAGCCAAAGTAAATGTTGCCATGAGTCAGCGAAAGCTTCAAGGAACAATCTGAAAAGGCTCACTCACAGATTCTTGACGCGTCTGGAAGCCTTAGGAAAAAAATGGGCCCACGGAAGAAAGGATGAAACTCTTTGAAACAGATGTCCCACGAGTTGCCTATAGTTACAGACAAGCCACTTGTGCCTCTGTTTTACAGAAAATGACACACACACTCCCATATAACATCTAAGAGGTAGGAATAAGAAATACCTCAGAATAATACTTAAGGTTAACATTGGCAGGTGAGGGTAGCAACTGAGAATGAAGGGTGTAAAATTTTGAAGCCAAATTCACAGCAAGTAGCAGGAGTAAATGCAAGTGAGAGATTAACGATCATGTTATTAAATATATACCAGATGAGGGTGGTAAACCATTCTAAGAAAGTCTTAGTACTAAACATGTATTGCTAAGTAAACGATATGAATTTTTAAAGGCTATTTATTATGGGTCAAGCTAAAAAATATATATATATATTCCTGATTTGAATTCTTGTTGTGAATTCTTGAATTGAATCGGCAGTTGTGTTCTTTTTATGTGTACAACTAAATGTAGAAGAACGGCAAAATTAAGAAAAAAGAATCAGGAAACAATTTGGTTAGCACTTAAAAATTTGAGAAAGGTTTTTAGCTTGCTTTTAAGAATAAACTTGGCTTAGAAGACTCTTTCTAACACAGGAAGTGTTGCCATGCGAAAAGCATGCATGCACCGGATGCTCTAGTAACAGTCCTATGAGTCTATTTGTTTCCTACATATATATTTTATCCTCTGCTTTCTCTTACACTAGATCTTACAGTAGATAAGGTTTAAGTTACTTAAGACACTCAACCACTCAAACTTTCCCACAGAAAGTTACCTGACCTCCAGCTGTAGGGTGAAATGTTTTTTGAACAAGAATTTGATGTACAAGTTTTGTTTTGTTTTTTTGGTAGGTATCATCAATATTTATTACTTGACCACAAGACATTTACAAGAAAATCAAATAATGTCATGTTTGCTAGCATCAAAGTTTACTCCTGGAATCAGGTATTAAATATGTTGAGACTTTTACACAGAAGTTATGAATTATAGTTTATTGCAGAACAAACATATATCTATACTGGTAAGTGGGTCTGTGCTATCTGTTTTTTCAAAAGGGTCACAAGAGTTAAGAAAAAATAAAGACAAAGAAAGATATATGAGATAAGTAAAATAGTTGAATTTCTTATTCTTTATGACTGTATTTCACGTACTTTGGAAAATTTAATTTACTTACCTTTAGTCTCAGAACTTCAGCAAAGAGTAATACTTAAGAAGAAGTATTATTGCAAGAGCAAATTTTTTAATATTTTTTCCCCCCAAAGTACACATAAAAATAGTTTAAAACCAACCAACTCATAGCAAAGCCATACAGTCCTCGCCAGCCTCAGTTAATCCTTGTGAGAAAGCTCAAGGCCACAGTAAGAGCTCAAGAGCGTAAGAGCTGCAAAGCTCTGACAATCCAGCTGGTGGGGCTGTTGGGCTGTGGTCTATTTAAGTCTGAAGCACAACACACCAAAAAGCTGAAGTAGCTATTTAGAGTCACATGGTGAAGATCCAAGACTAATAAAACATCCAAAGTTCATTATACCACTATATTTTTCCTGAACGTCATAACTCTGAACTTCAAAATAACCCGACTTGCCAAAACACATCCAGTTACGCTGTTTTAAGCAAAGAAAATGGTGGGAAAACTGATAAATGGCATGAAACTGGTACTGTTACAAACTTTACATTTCAACTTTCTAAAAATTTTTAAAAATCCATTCTGCAGTCCGTTAGCTACAAGGAATAAAAATGAAAATGGTTTACAGAAAGTGCTGTTTTGATTGCACTGCCTCTAGAAGTAGACCAAGCCCCTTTGTGGGAGGGCAATTTTTTCTCCACTTCCTTCATGACACTTCAGACCAAAGTTTGACAGACTTTATTGCCTTATGATCTACCATCAGCACCATCTCTGCTCTGCACTGGGATTCGCCCTGCTAATGGTACTGTTAAAGGTATACCTCCTACCCTGGAGGAGGACGGGAAATCCCTGGCCCATACCAAAACTTTCAAGAAAAGTCAACCACACTGAAAAATGACAAGAATCTACTCTGGGTTTCCATACCATTAACACTGTTGTTTTCAGTTGTCTTTGAATCCACAGAACTATCCAAAACATCTTTGATTTTAACTTACAGCACAACTAAAGAATAAAAAGCCTGAAGAGGACCCCACACAGTCAGAGCTCAAATGCACTAATATACTTTACCACATAGAGCAGAACAACTGCTTCGCAGTGATGCCTTGGCACAATAAGTCCCTAAGTGGTGACACTAAGAGATTTAGTACCTTCCTAAAAAGCAATATTTACCACACTGATTGCCTGCAAAGAGAATCCTAAACATTCTCAGGTCTTTCAGAAAGTAGCACTCACCGCTGTGTGTGTTTTGCTGTCCTCCCATTTCGAGGAGCTTGCTGTGAGCTGCCCATTCCAGTATTGCTTTGCACGATCAATGAGTTGGTGCTTCTCTGAAGAAGGAGGCACTGGAATTCCTTGTATTGCCAAATACTTAAAAATTATTTCTCGATAGACTTTCCTTCGTTTCAAAAGTTCTTCTGCACTTTGACTGTAAACCAAAATTGCATGAATGGCTTCTGCAAGTAAAGAAATTACAGTTAGCAGCTGTTGCTCTCTTGATTCATATCCAAACTTACACCATTTCTTAAACTTCTGACCAGTGCCTCCTGATGCTGCACAAGATTAGGTGAAACACAAAGATTTAAAAGGATATTTGGAAATTGAAATCCAATCTAACTAGTTATAACTTGAACTTTTCTCCCAAATGAAATTAATACTATTCTCCAAGTAGGCTGAATTTTTCAAGCTGCTTAGAACCTCCAAGCGCTTCAAAAAGAAGAAAGATTCTTGTACACGATACACTTGTTACCCATGCTCCCTGACAAGCAGCTAGTCTTAACTTCAAAATAAATTGATTTGTTTTTAAGGTGAAATTGTTCATGGCTTCCTACCATGGTTACCTTACAGCAAAAGCAAATCTGAGCTTGTTTTCTTCATTTGAAAAGCTCCAGAATATTTCAAAATAGGCCTGCCATTTTAGAGGCAAGATTAGGCAGAGAAAGAAGAATTGGAGAGGTTTTTTTTACAGTCCTTCTGAATATGAAATTTTAGTCTTACTTTTCGCATCAAACGGGTAGTTTGTGTGATTTCAGACAGAAAGTGTACTGCTATTTTGAAAAATATGTGAGGTCTTTTATGTTTGCTGTGAACACAAAATTAACAGAAATGCAAGTAGGAGATAATAAAGGTTACATTCTAGTTTCTTATATGCGGAATAAAAATTATAGAACCAAAACTGGGCAGATTTTTAAGACTAGATAGTTATTTGTCCATCCAGGTGTCTGTAGATTGATGGCAATAGAATTAAATCAAACTAATTTCCACAACAACCACTTGAAAACTCCTAAGTTCATAAGAGAACACCATGCATAGTAGTATGAGGACAGCGCACTGAAATGCAACTTTTGAAAATCTTCAAATGTAAGGCTCTGTGGCAAAATTAGGAAACACGGTAAGAAGAAATTCAGTTTTGGAGTAGTTGTGGTAGCTAGTTTGTGTCTGAACACAGATCAGGTGCCTAACGTTTCAGCTATAGAAACTGCAGGCTTAAACAAGAAGAGACTAGTAATTGGGGTAGAAAATAAATACATCTTTTAGTGTATTCTACAAGCATTACAAAAAGCAGATAAAAAACAGGAAGAAAAAGTAGAGACTATTTATAGCATGCGAACTTTCAAAGAGGTGTGTTTAGCAAATGCGGTAAGTCTGAGTTATGCCGGATATGAAACATATTCAAGGCTTTCGGATGAATGTATGTCAAGGTGATATACTGAGTAGCCTCAAGTAACGGATGTGCAAATTTAAATTTTATAAAACAGATCTCAACACCCACAAAGGGCTGGGGGTCAGTCACACCACAAGGGGCCCCATTCTACAAACAAGTAATCTCAAGACTTGATCTGCATTTTACCCTTCCAAAAACTGAAAGCAGAGATGGTTAACGCAGAAAGCAGCATACACTTAGCTTTTACATAAAGTTGTACACGCGAACGAGATACAGCACTGCACGAACCTCGCGGGGGGGAAGGGGGAGAAGGAAAAAAAGAAAAAAAGTGTTTCGAGTGTCTAAAAACCTGGCAGAAGCCACTAGTAGCCACATGTTCTTCAGCCTATACAAATAAAAGCGCTCAACAGCCAAATACCGGTGCTATTCGGACGCTACCAAACACGCAAGCCCAAGAGAAGACGGCTCTGACCGGCTACGCCCGAATAAAAGGCAGCTGCCGACACCGCCCAGGGCGCTGCGCTCGGGCACGGCGCCGCCAGCCGGCTCAGGGGCAGGGCGGGCCCGGTAAAGGGCGGGCGCC